AGACAAATCTCAGGATGCTGGTTACACTGTGAACATACCCTATCTCCTTCCCTGGTCCCACCTCCCAGGGCTCTGCCACAAGCCATCAATCAGATCAGCGAACCTCTCAATCTTGCCCTGCAGTGACTCCAGAGCACACAGCAGCATCCAGCCAGAATCTGACTGGAGGAAAGGAAGCCCAAAGGGCAAATTGTGATTTGCGAATTACCTGCTCATTAAAATCTTGCACATCTCCCTAAGATTTTTTTTTTTACTTTTTAAATCACCATCATTGCTTTTACTTAAAATTGGTCTGTATGCCTTTTTTTACCCCCGAATTGTGAATTAGAAAGTCATTGTCCTGTTGCTATAGTGATAGCTAACTGACACAGCCTTCTGCTCTCTGGCCTCTCGGCATAGCCAAGTTTCAAGTTTTTCTGGTCTCACTGCAAATGACAGGAGATGACAGCACACATCTCCCTTTCCATCTGAGCACAATCTGCACCCCAAGTTCTTTGAACCCGTGAGCACGTGGTGATCCAGCATCTCTCCTTGTGCTTTTGTCTGCACAACTGTGTTTGGACCAGGGATCCCAAGATGCAAACTGAGAAGGTGCGGATCTGGCTTGTGTTCCAGTGCTCCGGTAGTTGGCCAGGCATTTCGGAAGCCTGAGTAAAGATGCTCCCCTCTGAAGAAGGCAACTCAAAGGGCAGTGCATCCTGCAGAGTGCTCAGTAGATGTGCGATCCAAGGACAGATGGAAGCGGAAGAAAAGAGCGAGTCACAGGTCCTGACTGCTCATTCACCTCCATCAGATGAAGTAGCACAGAGAAACAGCAAGCTCTACTCCAATCATGACTACCCAGAAATCACTGGGGTTTGAGAGGCTATTATTTATGACATGGCAGGTTAAGAGGCATTCCCTGAGCAGGGAATTGCTTCTCTCTGGCACCGTGATTCAGTTGACTGGTTCTTACATGTCAGTTTTTCCCTTTTGTTTTCATTACAGATATAATTTCAAGACAGCCAAGCTGATTAGGCAGTCTGAGCCTGTTGTATACTGTGCACAGAAAAGCCTCCAAACTGAGCCCTCTTTAAATTGCTGTGGTGAAAGGCTGTGTCTTGCAAGGGAAGGCTGTCTGATGCCAGGCAGGGAGCATGCAGCAACTTCAGTTGCCCTGGCTTGGGTCTCTCTTCTCTAGCTTCTAGGTTTTTGCCCTCACAATAACTGGGTTTGTGCTTTTGGCCACACCTCGACTAATTCTTCTCCAGCCTGACACCTGTTCCTTAACTGATGGTCCTCTTTCATTCTTTTTCTTTTTTCTTACTCTTCTCTTATGTTACATCCTGGCTGTAATTTCTCCTGCCTCCCCAACACTCCCAAGTCTTTCCCCCTCATCTTCCTTTTCCCCCATATTCACACCCCCTTTGTGTACCCTCAGAAAAGAGGAGACCTCCCAGGGACATCAACCAAAAGTGGTATAATATGCTACAGTAAGACCAATTGCATACATCACATCAAGGACGTGAGGCAACCCAGGAGGAGGGAAAGGACCCCAGGAGGAGGGAAAGGACCCCAGGAGGAGGGAAAGGACCCCAGGAGGAGGAAAAGGACCCCAGGAGGAGGGAAAGGACCCCATAGGGAGTCAAAGGAGTTAGTGACTGGCCCCACTTTCATTGATAGAAATCCCACAAGAACACCAAGCTATTCAGCCAGTACATATATTCAGGTGACCTATAAACATCCTGGTCTCTGTGAGCCCCCATGAGTCCCAGTCAATTGATTCTGTGGACCATGCTCTCATGGTGTCCCTGACCCCTCTGGTTCCTCCAATTAGTCCTCCCCTTCCTCCACGGGACTCCTCAAGTTCTGCCTAATGTTTGGCTATGGGACTTTGCATCTGCTCCCATCAGTTGCTAGATGAAGTCTCTCTGGTCTCTTTGAACAGGATTCTGCTAGGCTCTGGTCTCAGAACATTCTGTAGGCAGGACAAACTGTAGGTTGAAGGTTTTGTGGCTGGGTCAGTATCACAATCCTTCCACTTGAGGCCTTGCCTGGTTACAGAAGATGCCTGGCTCAGGCTCCGTGTCCCCTGTTACTAGGACTCTCTGCTAGGGTTACTCTTGTAGATTCCATGGAGTTTCCACAGGACTAAGTTTCCATCTCGCCCCTGAAATGCCCAATTCTAGTCGATTCTCTCAGTAGTTTCCTTCCCCAACCCAACTGATCCCACCTGTTCCCTACAAACTCAGTCCATCAGCAAGTCTATTCTATTTCCCCTTACCCAGGAGATCCTTACAACTCACCTTAAGACCTCGTTATTTATCCTCTCTGGGTCTGTGGACTACACCGTGATTGCCTTTTTCTTTAGAGCCAATACCCACTTACAAGTGAGTATATTCCATAATGGGTGTACTGGGAGGATTTGTGTGTCCACGTGACACAAGCTAAAGTCATCAGAAGGAGCCTCAGCTGAGGAACTACCTCCTTGAGATCCAGCTGTAAGGCATTTTCTCATTTAGTGATCAATGTGGGAGGGCCCAGCCCATGGTGGTTGATTCTAACCCTGGGCTGGTGGTCCTGGGTTCTATAAGAAAGCAAACTGAGTAAGCCATGGGAAGCAAGTCAGTAAGACGCACCCCTCCATGGCAATTGCCCTGCTTGTGTTCCTGTCCTGACTTCCTTCTGTGATGCTGAAGAACAAGCCCCCCCCCCCCAAAAAAACCCTTTCCTCCCCAACTTGCTGTTTGGTCATAGTGTTTTTTCTCAGCAATAGAAACCCTGACTAAGACAATGGGTATCCCTTCTTATTTTCCCCAAGCCCCAGAACTGCATCCAAAATCCAGCTGTCAACTACTGCAGGTGTCCAGCCTGATCTTTTCTGCAGGTGCACTAGCATGCTATCCTTTGTCCCATCAATGCCCCAACCTTTAGCCTGGACCACACCTCCCAGTGGCCATTTCTGTATGTTTTTGTGCCTACTGGCTGGCACCATTCCAAGCATGAGAAATCGTTTAGCTTCTTGGGACTCCAATTTTGTCTGTGGGTGCTACCTGCCAAGATCCTCTCTGCCCAGAGCAAATGGATGAGAGGGCATGCCGGAGAAGGACAATCTGAACTGGATGAGGAAGGAGTCTAAGCTAAGACAACTAGACCCTGTGATTCACAATGAAAGCTACAAGCTCATAGTGCAATCTATCCTGTCCCATTCCCATTCTGCCCTGGCTTAACAGATTCTTTGATTTCTGCAATCTCACAGCTAAATTAGCACCATGGGTAACAAGGGCCAACTCAGTGAATAAGGGTACCTTTAAATGATCTGATTTTTTTTTTAATAACACCCTCCTCCTGTGTGTGTGTGTGTGTGTGTGTGTGTGTGTGTGCTTATTCTTGTAATGTTTTAGTGTATTTGTTTATGGGGAGGCATGCTTGCCATAGTATAATACATATGTAGAGATCAAAGTTTAAGTTCTCTCTTTCCCAACACAGAGGTCCAGTCATCAAACTCAGGTTCTCAGACTTGGTAGTGAGTTTATCCTCTAAGCTGCCATGCCAGCCCTCGATGTTAGAATATATTGAGAGTTAATAAGTCACTAGAGTTCTATGCCCTAGTTCTGGGATTGTTTGAGTTCAGAAAAATGACCTGGTCCTTGGTTTTCTTGAAGATGGATACAAAAATCACAAAGAACTATTTCTGGCATGTGAGAGTTTTGATACCGAAATAATCATTTTCCCATTTGCTAATCAATGCAATAAGCAAAGATACAGCCCGTCTCCTTCAAATGCTACTTACTTAACATCACCATTCAGCTTAGGCAAAGAGAACACATCTGCTACTCATTCACGGAAAGAACAGATAAAAATTCCCCAGCGACTGCTTCTTTGCAGTGTCTATTTTAAGAGATTTGACGATGTGTAGGTCACAAGGTTAGTGCCCCAGCCTTTCAGAGAACAAGCGTCTCAAAAGAATACCACTTGATCAATGCCACATCATGTAGAGGCTCCAAAATAAGCTGCACTTGTTCCCAGACAAAACCATTCTACACGTGACTGTCATAGCCACCTCCAAGAAAACAACCTGCTTTCCTCAACTGAGTTGGAAAATGGAGTGAAGAGATTCCTTGCTATATGCTAAGCAAAAGAAGATAGTCGCTTAAGACAAACTCCAGGGAATCAAAAGCCAAGCATTGTTTCAGAGACACAAAATACCGTTTTAAAATAATTACACCCACGATTTATGCACGATTCATTAGACAGCAAGATAAAATGCACTACTAAATTTTAATTGCACTGCAAGAGTAGACATGATGAAAAATATCCCCTAACTTCTTGGGATTATAACCCAGTGTAGTAACATCTTCAACACGATATAAATCTCAGCCAAATAGTTTCAGTGTTACTAAATTATATAAAATAATTTTTTTTTGCCTCGCAAGTTGATAAACCTCCAAAGACATCCTTTAGTCAAGCATTTAGAAGGTCAGGTAATCTGCTATCACTTTTTGTTACTGATGAAAGTTGAACAGCTTCCCCAGTAATGATGGAAGGAATGTCCTAAGCACACATTTGTCTCCAAACTAACGTGGTTGCAGAGACTACAGTTTGCATCCCTGCCTCCCCTCCACCAAACTAAGAACGTGTAATAACGCCCGCTATATGTAAAGCACAAAGCTAAAGGACGGTGCTGGCGTTACACAGACACTGGCAAGAACCTGCCTCCTGTGGTGGGTGCATATCCATACCCACGCAGAGCACAGGTTGAACCTGGGAGAGCACCACAGGTGTGTATTTCACGTGGTGTAATAGGTGTGACCAACATCACGGAGGACATAAGCAGTAGCTGCTGAAACCACACTCAGCAGTCTGGTGTGCCCCAGCTCCCCATTCATCCCTGTGAGCTTTCTGTGGCATCTTGCCATTAGACCCACAAAGCCTGCAGCTTCCAAAGAGAGGGCAATCCATGTGACAGACGCAGCATGTGGCTCTCAGGGCCAGCCCGGACCATCCGTTCCCACACATACCTGTGGTTTTCAATGGAGGTTTCTCTCCTAGCAACAGTTTTAACCTTTTGGCGTGGATTTTGCCTTGGTAATGGGAGTCAGCCACCACGGCAGAGGTGAAGGACATGTTACAGAGGGTACAGCATTTATTCTTATCCACCGTGTCAGCATCACCTCCCTGCATGGGGAAAAGGAGAAAGACAGTGTCATAGGGGAACTGAAGTTCCACATCATGAGATTTGTCATTTCCATGAGATTTGTCTACTGCTGACCCGCTTATAGGCCAGCTTAGCTTTTGTTCTGCAATCCTTTTCTTCTTCGTTATAATTGCCATCAACTCAGTAATGTGCATTTGTCTAGTGGCTGCATGTGCAAGACTCGGGGCTTACAGGGAACTTTGCAGAGAGGAGTTACCTAAAGAAAACCAGAGTCCACAATTAGGAAAAGGCACATTGTCCGGCTCTGCAAGGAAAGCAACTGGTAATTGCACACATTATACTCATTAAAGTAAGGGAAATATCAGAGTTCACATGGCCTGAATTATTTAGCAGAAATTATCATTTGGCATTCAGCTCTGCCTTTGCCAATTTTAGTCTCACCAGGATACATGGCTCCAGTGTTCAAGCTGTATGTGTGTGTGTGTGTGTGTGTGTGTGTGTGGTGTGTGTGTATATATATGAAAGTTTCTCGGGAGGACTTCAACATTTTCCATCCTTAATTTGCATATCTATCATAGAACTATGATGACCACACTTCCTGAATTTTCTGGCAAGAATCTGTGTACTATTTTTCCCTTTCCTTCAGAAAAGGTGATTGGCTAAATGCCGCACTGACTGCTTAGTCCGGCTTAATTTTTATGCTTTTGTGAGATTTAATGAAAGTGAATCATGAATCGGGAAAAAAAGCAACTTCTTTGTCAGAGCATGTGACACGGCCATTATGTGTGCAGGTCATCAATTACCTCTACTCTCCCGGAAGATTAATCCTCTGCCTCCCCTCCTGCCTCACTGCAAATGGAGGGTACAGTGGGCTCTAAGATAAGGACCCAAATCTGTTCCCTAGCGCAACTCCGTTAGCAAAGCACCTCATTGTTAAAGAACAGCCTCAGTGGAGTCTCTAGTCCCATAATAGTCCCTTCTCGGAGACCCAGAAAACCCGAAAATGAAATTTAAAATTGGATGGGACTAGGAGGAGGGTGGGGACAGGATGGAGGAGAGCAGAAAATTACATAATTTTTACATAATAACAAAATGCCCATCCTTCTAGAGAGGGTGTAGCCTTACACACATTATGCGGTAGATAGAAAAGTAACTCCTTTGATAAGGCATTACTATGTGAGATCTCTGATGGGTTTTATTACTTAAAAAGGCAGCGTGTGTGTGTGTGTGTGTGTGTGTGTGTGTGTGTGTGTACGCGCGCGTGCATGCGTGCGTGCGCCTGCATCCCAGAAGGCTGGCCTATACCTAAAAGTTGGGGACAACAGACTGAAATACTGAAACGCTGAGAGTGGGGACTGATGTGGGAGGAACTGGCTTGGCCTATAGCATAGGAGGAGGAAGGCAGGGTGAGAATCCTTAGAGCTGCCTGAGACAGACATGCTGAAACTTTGCTGGTAGGCCGTGACCTCGTGGTGATGCACAGATTAATACAAATGGGTTAAGATGCTAGACTTAGCCAATATGAAGCTAGAGCTAATGGGCCAAGGCGTGCTTTAAATAATATGGTTTCTGTGTGATTATTTTGGGCTGATCAGCCTCCCTGCAACAGGGGACAGTAATCGGTGTCAGAAAGTTGAACCCATCAAGAAAGGAGCACAATTCCACAGGACTCCCTCCTGTGGGGAGCATTCTGCCCTTGCTGAAGGTAAGCAATGGTTCATTGAGCTTTGCTTTCAGGTGAAAATCAAAACATGAGGACTTTTTACAATCCACCACGTGGTTTTCTACAAGGTAAAATGGACCAGACAGAGTAGGAAGGACTCCTGGCTCTTACTTGTGTCTCCAACCAAACCTAATGGGATACAGAGTCCCTCGCAGAGGAACAAGCCCATAAGCACCAAGAAAAGTCAATTCTCAGAGTAACCAAAGAAGCCCAATACATTCACTGAAGAGTGAGGGGCTGGGGGGACTTCAGGGGATAGAAAACAAAATGGCAACCTTTTCACTATGTGGTAGGCATATTCGTCCTATGCTGCTTTCTAATTTCTTTAAAAGTTTTGAGAATATAATTACATTTCTCTCTATCCTTCGGTAACTCTAGGACCTTCCAGACCCCCATATCCTTGCCCTCTTTCAAATGCATAGTTTTTTATCAGTGAAATTGCATGCATATAGGTACATGTAAATACACATGTATTCATAAATAAGACCTCTCAGTTTGCATGTTACTTGGGCATATATTTTTAGGGATGGTTATTAATGGATACTAAGTAACCAGTTGGTGTGTGTTTCCTCTCAGCATTCCTTAGCTGCCTGTGGTTCTTGGTACGGGGTTGAGGCCTCTTGGTCTTTCCCAAGTTTTCTTTGGCAAGTCAATTGTTTATTTCCTTGCTGAGACCGTGTTTAGGAAGTCATGCTGGCGAGACCTTATGGGTGTTGCTTCTGGAGTTACTAGGAAACTCTGATCCTCTGGCTCTTACACTCTTTCCACCTCCTCTTCTCAATGTTCCCTGAGCCCTAGGTGCAGGAGTATTCTGTAGATGTATCCACTGGGACTGGTCTCAAAGACTACATTTTGTTTGCTTGTGGCTTTCTGTGATGGTCTCCCCCGATGCTTCAAAGGGAAGTTCCCTTGATGAGTGATAAAGACAACACTTATCTGTGAGTATAGGACAAATGTTTAGGTTGTTCTTAGAGACTGTGCTGGTTTAGTAAAGCAGTGCTCATAGGTTCTTCATCAATATCCATGACTTTGCTAGCACTGATAGTTGGGTAGGTTTCCAGTAGCAGGCTTGAATTGCTTCCATTGAGCAGACCTTGCTTCCAATTAGAGAGCTGTTGATTACTGCTAATGTGCTCCACTACTGCACCATTAGGGTTATCATGCCATGCTAGTCATTGATATGGCTTATAGGCATCGTAGCTGGTTAGGATTGTTGGTTGCCTGCCTGCTATGGAAGCTTGGCTGGCATCTTCTGGTACCATGAATGCTAGTCCTCAGGGAAGAGGCTTTCAAGTCAGTTCTAGCTCAGGGGTCTCTGGGCCCTGTTTCTGAAGTGAATGGCATGTTCAGCGAGAGGAATTTGCCTTTTATCTGTAGGAGATAGCCCAGGGCCCAAGAGCATTAGGCTGTACATTTTGGTCAACAATGCAAAAGAAAGCTTCTCATGCCTGGTGCCTGGTTCTGAGATTTCTGTTGGGTGGTCTTTGCCTTAGTGGAATACATATTTTTAAAATATTCCCTTATAATATTCTGAATTTGTTCTGTTGTAATGTTTGCCTATTCATTTCTAATTCTCTTAATTTGGGTTCTCTCTAATAGTTAGTTGGACCAAGATTAAGTCAAACTTGTCCATCTTCTCAAAGAACTAGCTTTTAGATTCATTCATTCTTTGTATTATTTTATTTCTGTTTCATTATTTCTGCTCTGACTTTTATTTCTTGCAGTTAACTGGGTTTGGATTTATTTTGTCCTTGTTTTCCCACTTTTTGAACTGTATTATTAAGTCATTTATTTGTGTTATTTCTGATTTTGTATGTCTGCACTTAAGAGCTATAAATTACCCTTGTAGGAGAGCTCTCATTATGTCCCAGAGGTTTGTCTTGCTTTGCGTTTTCATTTTTAGTTAATGCCAGGAAGCCTTATATTTCTTTTTTGTTTCTTCTTTGACAGATCCATCATTTAGCAATGAGTTGTTTCATCTCAATGAGTTTTTGTATTTACTAGAGATGATTCTGCTGGCAATTTTAAGTTTTATTGTGTTCCTTTCAGATAGGACACAAGGAGTGGATACAATCTTTTGGAATTTGCAAAGATTTATTTTGTGTCTCAGATTGTGGTCTATTTTAGAAAGGTGTTTCTTTCTGGCTAGAATGTGTATTCTTTGGTGTCTGCGGAATATGCTGTAGCTATCTGTTAAGTCCTTTTGCTGTATTATGCCTTTTAATCATGTTTTTCTTTGTTTAATTTTTGTCCAGATGACCTGTCTACTGGAGAAAATGAGGCACTGAAACAGTCTACTACTAATGAGTTGATGTTAATCTGTGTCTTTAATTCCTGTGGTGTATTTTTTTTTTTTATAAAATTGGATGCTTCAGAGTTCCGTGCATACATATGTAGGATGATAGTATCTTCTTGGTTAACTGTCCTCTTAATTAGAATAAAATCCTTCTTTATCTCTTCTGTTTAGGAGATAGTTTGAGTCTATTTGTCAGAAATTCAGATAGTGATGCCAGTCCACTTTCTGGTCACATTTGACTGGTGTACTTTTGTCCGTCTTTATACACTAAGGTGGTACCTATTTAATGCTAAAATGTATTTTTTTTGTTTTTGGTTTTTTTTAAGTGAGTTATACATTTTTCTCCATTCCCCTCCCTTCCTCGCATCTGCCCTTCTACCCTCTCCTGTGACCCTCACATTCCCAATTTACTCAGGAGAACTTTTCTTTTTCACTTTCCTATGTAGATCCATGTATGTTTCTCTTAGGGTCCTCTTTGTTGTCTGGTTTCTCTGGGGTTGTGCCCTGAAGGTTGGTTTTTCTTTGCTTTATGTCTCAAAGCCACCTATGAGTGAATACATATTATATTTGTCTTTCTGGGTCTGGGTTGCCTCAGTCAATATGGCTTTTTTAGACCCATCAATTTGCCTGCATATTTCAAGATGTCAATTTTTTACCACTGTGTAGTACTCCATTGCATAAATGTACCACTTTTTTTTTTTTAATCCATTCTTTGGTTGAGGGGCATATAGATTGTTTCCAGGTTCTGGCTATGACAAATAATGCTGCTATGAACATAGTTGAGTACATGTCCTTGTGGTATGACTGAGCACTTTTGGGTCTTGAAATAGATTGTTTCCTAAGTTTCTGAGAAATCACCATACTGATTTCCAAAGCAGCTGTACAAGTTTGCACTCCCATCAGCAATGGAGGAGTGTTCTCTTTACCCCACATCCTCTCCAGCATAAGTTGTCATCAGTGTTTTTGATCTTGGCCATTCTGACAGGTGTGAGATGGGATCT